AGATGATTATAGGGTCTTTAAAAACCTACGTCTGCGGTAAAAATTTACGTTTTTAATGTAAAAATGATAGCGCGCGTGTCGATTCTAACTTCATCAAGTGATGAATCACTCCCAAACATTCGTGGCGTTTACTCTATCACAGTTTCGGCAGAATGAAATCATTAAATCAAACCAAACACATCGAAATTAATTATTAAATCGAATTGTTTAAGGGATCTTTTCAAAAGTCAATAACTCGGAAACGGTTACTTTGAGGTACATTGTGTGTATTTCGATTTTTGCTTAGAATTGAAGGAAGAATTGAAATATATAATAATATACAGGGAGTTCTATTTAAGAAAATGAAAATTTGATATGCCCCGACTGAACGACCCTGTATACTTAATTTACTAGTAGCTAATAGAAATTTATAAACCCATTACAATAGTATAACAGTTTCGGCAGAATGGCATCATTAAATCAAATCAAACACATCGAAATTAATTAAATCGAAAGTAATATTTTCAAAAGTCAATAACTCGGAAACGGTTGCTTTGAGGTACATTGTGTGTGTTTCGATTTTTTGCTTAGAATTGAAGGAAGAATTGAAAATATGTAATAATATACAGGGGTTCTATTTAAAAAAATTAAACGTTGATGTGCCCTGACTTTATGAACGACCCTGTATACTGAAATTTACCTGCTGATAGATATTTATAAACCCTATAACTTTTATATTTAACTTTTTGCGGTACCTCTTATATTTTACCTAATAATCGACTGTTTCATTTGAATTAATCCAAACAAAACGGATGAATTTTAAATGAAATTAGATTTAATAAAGAAATAAGTGACAAAACACATTTTTATACCTAAAAGAGAGAGAATTTTCCATCTAAAATCCGAAAATATGTTTGTAGCAGGAGCGTTCTTGTCGCATTTTTTGGCGCCCCGTCATATCGTCTTCCCAATTTCCTTAGTCCTTCGGAAAATTGCTTTGCGGCCTCTCGGTTACCGAAAATTTTTATCAGATGGCGATAAAAAGGCCGCCGATTTATTTTGCTTGCAAGCTTGACTGCTTCGAGCCTTTCCACTTGAGGATCGCTAAATCGGGTATATTTTTCTCGTTTTAATACCTATTTTAAACGCAATAATAATGCTAATTCGCATATTAGTGTGTGTTATAAAAGAAATTAATTTTAAACAAGCAAATCAATTACTATCATCGTTATTACTTAATTTTCAAAATTTTGAATATAGAATATGTACCAAAAAGTTTGGTTTGGTTATAAAAATTATTTTTAATATGCTCTCTTTACAGTTGGGGGTTGGAACCTTTGGTGTTACACAGCAAATAAAACACTAATGATTCATTTTTAATCATCTGCTGATGATGCTAACATGATTAGCGAAACGCGTGTCCAGTGTAAAAGTAAAAGTGTTTTGGTATATTGTGGTGATTTAGTGTTTTATTTTGATGCTCTCTTGATTTTGCTTTATGCCTTGATAAGAAACATTAAGCCCAAAAATTTATGAAAATTAAATTAGCGTAAAAATAGACAATCAATCAAATTTTGAACGTGTTTACCCTTTGACATGTTCCAGTATTTTGAAATCTATATCCACTCTTTGTACAGGGTGGGACAAATTGGATACTTTTATATATACTTAAGGGAAACATCTATAGGATATAGACGAAAACTAATATCGGTGTGTGGAGCTCAATTTTTATCCAAAACATGATGGTAAAACCGTACATCGATATCTGTTACCGGTTCGGAGTTACAGTATGTTTTTCCATACATGTGCATTTTTAAGAAATCGCTGTAACTTTTTTGCTATGGAAAATTTATGAAAATATTTCCAAAACACCTTTTTACGTAGAATTTATTGGTTTAAGTATATTTTTTTTTAATTAATAATTTAAGATTTATCAAGAAAAAATTTGATTTTTTATTTGGGATACGCTGTATATTTTTAATAATTAAAAAGAACGTAAAATTACCTTTTCAAAAAACACCACACTTAGTATTTTGTTATAGTCCCTTTCGAAATACAAAATTTTTAAAAGTTCGCCACTTTTAACTACTTAGTAAACTTTGGACCCTTTATTGATGATCTCTACCTAATGGAACTCAAAAACATATTTTTCCAGCAAGACGAGGCCTCCACTCACAACCCTAAAGTTATAAGCAATTTTTTGCAGTCAATTTTGATAATAATTGAATAGCTAACCAAGGTCCCAGCCGTTGGCCGTCGAGGCCGCCGGACTTAGCGTCTACGGATTTTTATCCTTGTGGAAGACTATAAAGGTTCTTATTTTCAAATTGCCCGTATACTCTAGACAAAAATTAGAAGTACTTAGCGGTTATACTAGGATATCTTTCACACCCACTGAGTTAATAAATTTTGCGGGAAATGTTCAGAAACGGTCCCGTCGCCAACCAAAACACCTCGTGTAGAGAACAGCTCATGTCTTGGTTTGCTATTTATTATTATTGTTATTAGATATGGTTCAAATGTGGTGTTCTTGTTAAATATAGTTTAAATTGTTATCGAATTCTGCATGTAAATATTATTCTCATTGCAAATATTATTTTCGTTTTAATTGGTACTCACAGCTAGCATTTTTCTGTATTTACGGACGCACGTTCAAACCTACTTATCAAAGTGGGCGCATTTTTAAAACTGTATCTCGAAGAGGAATCGAACAAAATACCAAATATGCAATATTTCTGGAAAGTAAATTTCAAATTCTCTTCAGTGAATTAAAAATATACAGGGTATCCCAAATAAAAAATAAAATTTACTGTTGATAACTCTTTAATTATTAATTTAAAAAAAATTATTTTAAAAACTTCTACATAAAAATATGCTTTGGAAATGCTTTTATAAAAATATAAAATTCTCCATAGCAAAAGATTCTCCATTTCAAAATTCAAATTATTGAAAAACACCATTATTTGTTTGATCAAAATTGAGCTCCGGACACCGATATTAGTTTTCGTCCATATATCCACCTCGCACATATATAAAAGGACAATAATGTAAATTGTCGTTATTACAGTTGATACATGACATAAGTCAAAATATCTGTTTTCGATATTGAACATCGGTATATTTTTTTTAAAAACTCATAATGTTTTTTACCATTCGTTCCAATCGTTGAACGGATGAATTTAGAGCTACGTACAAAATAGTTTAATATTTAATTGTAGTTGCATATTCATTCTATAGTTTTGATTTTTGATTCGTCCATTCAATATGAAGTTTCTTATTTATTTTTATATTGTTAGCTTTCTGCAAAAGTGATCTTCCAACTTGCATGTCGTTTAAAATTAGGTTCTAAAAAATTGCCTTTAATAGTATTTTAATTGCAAAAAGTAGATTCCGCCTAACTAGAAAAAAAATGTTTTTGAGTTAAGAACTATAGTACCAAAATATGCAGTTAAAGTTCGACTATTAATGTGTCAGATGTTTCTAATAACAATAACTCAGATATTTTTGTCAATATACCTACGTTGTTTTATATAAACATTTTAGCCTTAGTTCTCAAAGTTCTGTAGTTCAGAAATATCTTCTAATGACTTTAACATCTCACTGAATTCACTCTCCTTATCTTATGCTAAGGAGAGTGACTTCCACGGACTTCAGAAACAAATTTGGCGCTTTATAGGAACTCAAAGAAAAAAGATTAACGAGCTAGTTGAATCAAATCACATAGCAAGGGAATCCTGGATTGATTATTTGTCAGAACTATACAAATCAGAAGAAATAGAGGTTGAACTAAATACATCCGAAATAATGACCAGCGACAACGTACAGATTGAGGCAGCCGATATAATTACATGTCTTCGAAAGCTAAAGAATAGGAAGAGCCCAGGGCAAGATGATATCCCAAATGAATTACTTAAATATGGCGGCCAAAGTCGCCAAAAACAGCAGCTAACATCCCTGATTCAAAAAATCCTTTACGAACACAGGATACCCGATGAATGGCGAACCAGCACCACTATCTTGATGTTTAAAAGAAGGAGAAAATAAGAAGAATGAAATAAGAAGCTGCACTCAAACTATAGAGGCATAAATCTTCTAAGCACCACACTATGACTACTTACGACAAAAGTGATAACAACCAAAATTAACGACTTAACATGCTTAGCAGATGAACAGCAAGGTTTCAGATCGGGCAGATCATGCTCAGACGCATATAACAAACCAGCGTATATGTGTTTTATTGATTTAGAAAAAGCGTTCGACCGTGTGCAGCTAAGAGACGTTGTACACCTTCTTTACAATAGGCAAATCCCACACAATCTCGTTAAAACCATACAAAACATATATGAAGGGAACCAAATTCAAGCTAAAATTAACGGGATCCTGACCGAACCAGTAGGCCGTGGTATCCGACAAGGTGACTCCCTGAGCCCTCTTCTTTTCAACATCATTATGGACGAAATAATAGGAAATGTACGTTTACTGGAGGGATACAGTATGGGCGACCAGGAAATTACTATTCTATGCTATGCCGACGACGCCGTATTGGTAGCTGAAAATGAGAACGATCGACAGGGCTTATTAGGAGAATTTTGGTTTTTCGGGTTATTAGGCCGTCGTCGGTTAGAATTGCTTCCTAACGTTTCGCTCGCACGAGTGGCTAGCATCTTCAGAGGTGTGTTTGCTCCGGCTGCTCACACTAGACTGATGTCTCCTTGTCGGCGTAGCGCGTATTTATGCGTCGGCGGAGGGGGCGTGGTTTGTTCGGGTGCTAGTTCTTCCGGAACTGGTCTACTTCTCTGTGCTGCTACTTTGGTCCTAGATATAGCTGGATGCCAAATTCTGTTAAGGTAGAAAGTTTCTTCCTTCCTGTTGAAATTATTTGGATGTTTGTGAATTTCAACAGCTTCCCTGACCAGACGAGGATGTTATCCAGATGTTGTGGCAATGACTTGGGTGTCTTCGAATCGGATTTTGTGGTCACCATCTCTTAGAGCATGTTCTGCTACGGCTGACTTCTCGGTTTACCCTAATCTGCAGTTTCTCTTGTGTTCCGTAAGTCTCGTTCCTACTGAGCGTTTGGTAGTTCCAATATATACGCTACCGCAGGAACAAGGTATACGGTAGATCCCTGCAGAGGATAATGGTTCTCTTTTGTCTTTGGCTGGTCTTAAGCAGTCCCTTATTTTCCGGGTAGGTTTGTATATGGATTTGATGTTATGCTTCTTGAGAACTTTACCAATCCTATCGGTGACCTGGGAAACATATGGTAGGAAGGCCTTATTAATGATGTTTTTCTGTTCATTGACGTCAGGTTTCCTCTGCCTAGGTACCAGCGCCGCCTTTATTTCTCTGTCATTATAGCCATTGGCAAGAAAAGCTTTATTTAAATGACTTAGTTTCTCTTGGATGTATTCATTAGCACAGATACGTCTTGCCTTATTTGCTAATGTTCGGATAATCCTCTGTTTTTGGCTTGGATGGTGATTTGATAGTTTGTGTAAGTACCGGTCTGTATGAGTGGGTTTTCGATACACCGTGTGATCCAAAAGGTCGCCATTTCTCTTGACAAGCACATCGAGGAAGGCCAGTTGGTTGTTTACTTCGGTTTCCATGGTATTTTTTTTTCTCTCGACCTGATACAGCGAAAACTAAACAACTACTAGAGACAACCGAAATGAGAGTACTACGCAGAATAGCTGGAAAGACGCTTCTGGACAGGGAGAGAAATGAAAGCATAAGAAGAGCGTGCAGGTGGAAAATGTAAATGAGTGGGTACTCAGCAGAAAGGAAGAATAGAACGACCATATAAGCAGAATGGACAACAGAAGGATAGTGAGAGTTGCACGCGACAAATCACCGCTAGGTCGCAGAAGCTTAGGACGTCCAGGAAAACGATGGAGCGACAACTTGTCAGTCTAACCGGTAGACACGACGAAACCAAACAGGCGATTCGCCTAGTATGAAGAAGGAAAAAGAAGGAAGAAGAAGACTTTAACATAAATAATTATTAATCACTTGCGCTTTGGGACACTATATAGGATAAAGTGCATCAATAGGAAACGAAAGTACCATGAAAGTACCATTATTAATATAAGAATTTATTTACACAAGTGCTGTATGCATATGTATACTTTAGATATTTAGAGAGAGTTTATATAATATGCACTGTCATCACAATGGCCCTTTTCTTATGATAAGGAATTTTTCAGTTCAAAGTAAAGTGCTAATATAATACAAGCTAAAATCAACAAACTTGCATCTGCATCTGCATCAAAATAAACCCTACACACATTTTATAACTTAATCTCTATAAAAATGGCAATAAGCCTTGAAAGTGAATACGTATAAGAACTTAGATATACGAATCTAACGATGTTTTGTCATGCTCTATTAGATAAAAGAAAATATTTTAGAAGAAATATTTTGTTTTCAACATTTTAATTTTGTATTAGAACAATATTAATGAACATAGTTAGGATCTCTAAGTATTAAATTAATAGGGTTTAAATGACTAGATCATAAATGTAAATGATGAAAATTAAAAAAAAAATATATATATACAGGGTGATTCTTATAACCTATACGCATAAACTTGGGAAATTATTGCTGATGACAAATAATGACTAATAATGAAAAAAAAATGTTAGTAAAATATTTTTTTTTCACAAAAGTTTATCAACTTTATCATGCACATTCAATTTAATGGAATTTACGTTTTTTGTTTTTATTTCAAATTAGTTTGTTATCTCCGTAAATAAAAATATTTTACTAACTTTTTTTTCATTATTAGTCATTATTTGTCATCAGCAATAATTTCCCAACTTTATGCGTATAGGTTTAGAATCACCCTGTATTTAATAATTTTAGCCACTAGTTTATAATTTTAAAATATAAATGATATAATACTTAGGCACCTAAATCAGGTTATTACATATGCATCGATATTTTAGAAGTAGTACAAAGTAATTTGTAGATTGAAAAATATCATTAATGGATTAGTTATCTATATACAAACTGATAAAAAAATTTCATCACTTTCCTATATTTCCAGGAATCGATTTTTTTAATAAACATTTCAATCAACTGTAAACAAATAAATAATGTATCACACAGGTTTAGTTCACAATATACTAAATTATCAATGAACTGCTCTTTTACACAGGACACAGGAGATAATAATTTGAAACAAAAATAAATTTAGCTTATTTTAGTGTTAAGCTTCATTCAGAACCTCTCAGCTGTGCTTTCAGTTAGTGGAATTAATTAGTGGTTTCAATTACACTTTACACTTTTTAGTATACGATCATTCACAATGTTTAAAAAAACACAATTAAAATTAATCGAATATCCTAGCAACAGCTTGCGTCAGTCATCCATAGAGAAAGCATAATATTTAGCTTATAAAACAATAAACTTTTGATTTCTAACCAGAATTTCTCTTGACGAAAGAAAATCAAAGGCCAAAATGACATTTCTCGCAAATTTTGAAGTATAATTAGTGGAAAAGTTGAAAGTTTGACAACTTTTTCTATTAATTGAAGATGTCTACCACTAATTTTGACGTTCTGAATGCTTACATTGAAATTAAAGGAACAAACTTCTACGCTAATTGAACCTACTAATTTATTCCACTAATTGCGAGGCTCTGAATGAGGCTTTAAGATAAATTTAGAATCAATATTGTGAATGATCGTAAACTAAGTAGTATAAAGTGTAATTGAAACCACTAATTTATTCCACTGATTGCGAGGTTCTGAATGAAGCTTTAGTTTTAAAAATGAGTTTTTTTTTAATCAAAAAGCATAAATAATTTGTTATTTTAAACTTTGAGAAAGCTGTACAAATTGTGAAAAATCTTGTTTCAAAATAGCCGTAACTCATCATCATTATGGGAATATTGACCAGTGTTCATTTTGTTTCTATTATAGCCAGTGTTTTAGAGTTGAGAATGAAATAAAATAAAGTCGAGGCAACAAACCGTATATTGGTAATTGGTATTATACACAAAATTATATTGGTATAATGGTATTATAAAAAAAAACTAATGGTAGTTAAAACTAATGGTGGGTTCGTGAAGCACGCTCTTTGCGCTATTTGGTACTACATTTAATGCACGAAATTGCTCGGCGTACAAAAAGTAGTATTAAATAGCGCAAATAGTACAGTACGTCTGTCCGTTCTGTAGCTACGGGGTATCTGTGGGAGGGGAAACGATATTCTCTCGATGTTTTTCGTAAAAAATGAGACGACGCGTCCCATCAATAAAAATTCGACAAATTCGCAAGTGGCCAATAAAATGAGTGGGCCGAGCGATTTGCGGTGACTCGTCAAGTCGACGTATAAAATATATTGCTGTTTATTTAAATGTTTTTTGTCCGCATTCCTTTCATAGACACAGATCCAGCAGACGTACTGTACACTCTAGCATGACCTTTCCGTACACCCTGTGGCCAAACTTTTCCAACCAATCTTCCATAATAAAAAAATAAAATAAATACCATAAAAAATAAAAGTAACAAACGGGTAACCAAAATAGAACATAATAAACTAACAAGAATTAAAAAATGAACTTAACCTTATATATTGACGTAGTTTGCGGTCTTTTAAGATTTTTTTGCTAAAGACAAGAAATTTTAAGTCTTGCAAGACAAGACAAGACTATTCAAGAAATCTGCAAGACAAGTCTTTGAAAATTTCTTGTCTTGAATTTCAAGACAAGACAAGAAATTGATTTTCAAGACAAGAATTCTTGTCTTGTGCAACACTAGTTACAGCCATAGATAAAAATAATAGATTTGGTTATTTTAAAGAAAACTGGTAAACCGTTTTTCATGAAATTTGGTACTCTTGCACACATAAAAGGGTGCTTTCCAGTAGGGTAAAGAGTCCTACTGGCGGTACGTTTGTTATCCTTATAGATACAGTAATTTCAACAAATAACATAAAAAGTTACAGCTTTAGAATGAGGATGAACTTAAGAATGTTTAGTTACTCGTGGTTTAACGCTTTGGGGTTTAATTCAAGCTTAGACAAACAAATCACGCTACCATACCCAAAAACGTCAACTCAAGTTGAAGTCATACTCAAAAAACTAAAAACTACGTCTACTAAAATGTATTGTCTCCAAGTATTGCGCAGCAATATGAAGTTCCAGATACTGATAATTCGAATCCTAGAGCAGCAAGTGCACGGATTACATGCATATCAATGTATAAGTCAGCTTAATACACTGAAGTCTTTGGAGTGTAGCAGGGAACAAAGGGTGCGGGCGGCAAAGGTTTCACCAATTAGATCTAATATTCCAATGAGCAGTGAACAAATTAATCAAGCAACGCCGCAGAATAAATCTTATGAAAGATGATAACCCCCACGCGTGGAATTGTCACCTTACGCCATTTCAGATAAAAAATCGAGATTTACTATGTTAATATATGACAAAAATTAGGATTGATTGACGTGTTCAATTGCTTTCGGTCACTTCCTGTTTCACTGGAAATGACTACAACTTTTGATTTTCTAATGGCACCCTTGGTATTTTTTTACTTTATTGATAGAAAATGACACTGAATAGAATGATATATCATACGTCAACTTTTGAAATTTTTGAACATGATTTATTTGAAATTGCAATATGCGATTCATAACGAGAATTTGACTTGAAATAATGATATATCATATATATGTCAATTGACATTTTTGAACATGATTTATTTGAAATTGCAATATTATGCGATTCATAACGACAATTTGTCTTGAAATACCAAGTATATTCCAAATATGGTATCAAATTATTCGTAAAAAATGCTTTTTCAAAATATACTAATGAGCCACCCTCGTTCCATTTGAAATAATTGAAATATGATTTAAAATACGATTTAAGCATTTTTAACCGGTGAGGAGGAAGCATTAGGCGATCAAATCTATTTTTCCAAGGCTTCTTAATTAAAAATTAGTGTTTTTAACACACCCATGGCACTCTAGATTGAAATTTAAGGTACAATTTTGTTTTAAGCGAAAATGTCAAAAGTTGACATATGATATATCATTTAATTCAGAGTATCTTTTTCTATCGAATAAAATAAAAAGATACCTGGGGTTCCATTAAAAAATCAAAAGCTGTCCGGTGTATCATTTCCGGTGAAACAGAAGTGGCCGAGAAAAGAACTGAATACGTCAATCAATCCTCATTTATGTCATGTATTAACATACTAAATCTCGTTCTTTTAACTGAAAAAATAAAAGGGTTATGGGGGTGAGCCATTTTTTGAGACGCACCCAGTATACCAGTAATGATATGCACTTTCTGAGGAACCGCTACTGGGATTCGTTAGAATTATTTACTATTTATTTTACCATTCTAAAACTGGCCGATAAAAATAAATGATATGGGATGTAATCAAATATTCATAATACTCATTATTGCAATATAATACAGTATAAGTATAAAAACATGAAAAACAACGGTAGTAAGTATAAAAACATGAAAAACAACAATTATATTAATTAAATAATAAACTAATAATAAATAAAAATTAGTATATGTAATGTAAAGAAATATAAAATAATTAGAAGCGCATTAATTAGTCTTACACAAGTAGTTTTCTGTTTGAAATTTATTATATATTTAATAACTTACCGATAAATTTACTGGTTGACATGTATTATTTCTATCAAATCGATACTTTAAATAAACATTTAAATTATTAATAGTCAAATAAATAAAACAGCAAATAAACTTCTTTCAAAATAATCTAACTTATTAATAAGCTAATAGAAAAATTGCGCTTTACTAGTCTACACTATTAGGCTACTAAAGAATTTATTATGAGACGAATAAAACAAACAAATAGTTTCCCGCCAATATTTTTTAACAATTTTTTATGACAATCGATAGATTTGATTAATTTCCTTAATATACAGTAGAGATCTTAAAGGTTGTTTTTTAAATTAATAACTAAAATGTTTTATGACCGAAAACTTATACATGTAATAATATACTAACATATTTTAATGAGAGTACATAACAGTGTTTTTTTTCGATTAATTGAAGAAATAAACAATGCATCCGCAAATTTCAGTTCAAAATAAACAATATTATTAATTTAATGCGTCTTAGCACACTATGATAGAATGTATTAATGGGAAAGGAAAACGACATGAAAGACGTCGCGTCGTCGTGACAAATTATTTCCCGCCAACATTTTTGCAAGGCGATGCTTTTTTATTAGAAATAAGAGCACAGTTTGACTGACTATAATAAATTATCTTTTAAAACATATCTAATATATTACAAAAATATATGTTTTTGTTTTTTTTGCGAAAAAAAAATATGCATGTGTCCTTCAAAATATAAGAATCTTCTATTTATGGATAGGGTTGTAAAATATTTATCGTATTCCATAGGACGTTCGTTTGAACTTCTACTAATGTTTGTTAGAAGTAGTTTGAAATATCTACTGTTTTTTTTAACCATACAATAAGCGGTAATACCAAATGAAATATCTACTTACATCGGCTGATGGACGTTGACCATTTAGCAGGACCGATCCACAGAGCGAGAACGCGAGAGGATTAGTGTCACCAGGAGAAATAAAAAACGAAACAGCCGCACTACCGCACAGGCATTGTCGTTTTTTTAGCGCGATCCTGCTTAATCCTAGCACACTCTCGGCCGCTGTCAAAGTCTGCTATATTCATTCCTGCGACATAGCGAAAAGCACGGCGGCCGACCGGTATAGAGCAGGGCGCAGGCCTCAAAGCGATCGATAGAATACCACGCATCCTGCTCAAGAATCCCCGAAAATTAGGACTCGCATGAAGACACTGCCAGAGGACCGGCTATATGGAGGAAGCACATCTTGCCACTATTTGATTTATCTCTACTTCGTGCAGGTTTGTCCTCTATGGTGTTTTATTTCTGAAGAACACTCTAAGTCGCACTACGTATTTTCGTCATCAATTTTGGGGGTGATTTCCCGCCAATAGTTTTGTGATCACGTATTTATATTTAGCCGACCATACTCAACGATTCACTCAAAATGAGTTATTTGGGTCATAACCTAAATAAGGGGGGGGGCCATGGGACCTAAATACAAAATATTTTCATGGTGTATGTCTGTCTGTCTGTTTGTCTGTCCGTCTGTCCCTCTGTTTGTAACACGATAACTCACAAGGAGGAAAAATTATGTCAAACCGCCTGCACCCACATATAGGAAAAATCCTCCCAGAATCGCAAACGGGTTTTCGCACCAACCGCGGTACCGTCGATTCCATATTCTCCATCCGGCAACTACAGGAAAAAGTAAAAGAGCAGCAGTCTAAACTTTACATTGCATTCATCGATCTAACAAAAGCCTTCGACTCTGTGAACAGAGATGCACTTTGGGCAATTATGAAAAAGTTCGGAGTACCCATCAAATTTCTTACAGTGTGTAAAAGCCTCCATAACAACAACAAATCAAGATTGTCATATCATGGATCACTGAGCGATCCCTTCCTAACAAACACAGGCGTTAGGCAGGGATGTGTCTTAGCGCCCCTCCTATTAATATTCCATATACCTTTTCACAGAACTAATTATGGAATGTTATCTGCGCTTACAAGATTTTGTGTAGAGGCTAATCAGATTATTGATAAAGATTGTGATATCGACTTCTTCTGTGATAATATAAATAGTTTCAAGAATAAAGTAAAGGCGGTGGTTTTGTAGTAATTTATTGTAAAGTCTCTGTTGTGATGGATTTTATTCTAGTTGTAATTATAGTTATTGTTGTATGTACATTTAAATGGCTGGTCCGTAAATATATTATTTTATTTTTTATTTATTTTAAATATATTCATGGCAGCGCTCTCCATTATACTGGACAGCAAACTGCAGGAGAGAGGTTTGGGCATTAGATACAGATTCGACGGCGGTCTGTTCAACATAAAAAGACTCAGGGCAAAAACACGTACAAAATTCATCAAAGAACTTCAATACGCTGATGACTGTGCTCTAGTTGCAAATACGTTACATCAATTGCAGGAAATGTTGAACACATATACATGGGCATACGAGGCCTTGGGACTTAAGCTGAACATCAATAAAACTAAAATCATGTGCACTCCCCCGGAAGATCACAACAATGCTATAAAAATCGGAGATGAACTGTTGGAATATGTAGCGGAATTCAATTACCTCGGCAGTTTGATGTCGGAAAAGGCCAATATCGACTCTGAAATTCAGCACAGGATTAGCAGCGCCTCAAGAGCATTCTGGAAATTAAAAGACAGGGATTTCTACAATCATGACTTGAGCACAAAAACGAAACTTGCGGTGTACCGAGCGATAATAATTCCCACCATGTTATATGGAAGCGAAACCTGGGTGCCGTACCGCCGACACATGAACGCATTAAACAAGTTGCAACAGAGACATCTTAAACAACTCTTAAGAATAAAATGGTTCCATCATGTCTCAAACGTATCGGTCCTTGAAAAAGCTAACTGCGAGAATATTGAAGTCATGATTACAAAGTCCCGCTTAAGATGGGCTGGTCATGTATGCAGAATGCAAGAAAACCGCATACCAAAATCTCTGGTTTACGGTGAGCTTGTAGACGGCAAGAGGAGGCCGGGTGGACAACTCAAAAGGTTCAAGGATATTTTCCACGAAAACTTAAAAGGAATTAACAAGCAGAATGAGTGGGAAGAGGCAGCTCACAATAGAACGGAATGGAGAAGAATTGTAAAGTCAGTTAAGAGCGACAACCAAAAAGTAAAGAGGCAACAAAGCAATGAGATTTTTGAATGCCTGGAGTGCGGTAGACAGATAACATCACGTATCGGGCTTTTCAGTCACAGAAAAGCTCATGAAAGAAAACGCCTTGCGTGACCATCTTCTGATGCGTGTCAAATACTCGTCAGCGAGTAATGGCGGTATGGTATGGTATGATAACTCAAAAACAGCTAAACCGATTTTAACCAAATTTGGCACAAAAATACTGTGGCACCTGAGAATCTGACCATTAGTTTTTGGTGGGGGTGGGGCGTTGGTAAGGGGGTATGGGAGGGGGTTAAAAATTTTAAAAAATTATAACTCCAAAATTACAGTAGCTAGCGAAACGCGGTTTTCAATTTAAGATTAGGAATAATATTTGCAACAAAATTTGTAATATCATCAAAATCAGTCAAAGTCGCAGTTTTTGAGATAAAAAAAAATTGGAAAAATTCCTTTACTTTAAAACTAAAAGAACTGCCTACCAACTTTTTATTAACATATTTTAGTATGGGCGGCTGTACGTGCCTCCCGGCGCCAATTTTTTATCTTTATTAAAACTAAAGAAAAGAGTATCGGTCTTCCATTGTCTTTATTTATTTTGCTTACACAACGTTTCGATCAGAAGTATCACCATTGGCGTAACTACAGTGGTGCCCGGGGGTGCCTCCCGCCCAGGTACTGCTAGGCACCCCCCAGAGAAATCTTGAATTATGACACTTGGCTAAGTTTTAGTTTTTATTTGCTTGTGATGTAGTAAAAATGACTTTCTAGTATTGTTTAGTTAATGTTATTTTGTTGTGTTTAAAAAATGTGTTAATTTTAATTTTTTTAGAAAATTTGTTCATAATAATTAATCTACGGGAACACGGTTTGATAACCAAGTCTATGAAATTTATTGAGAGAAATTCATGTAAACGTTTTATTCAAAAAATGTGTTTTTTAAAATTATTCTTCATTTTATAAAAAAAAAGCCCTAGGCCCCCCTGGGCTCACGAAACACCGCACTCGCAAGGTACCTGGTAGTTGCTCTCTTTCTCTTGGTTTGATGATTCAGGTTTTGTTTTTGTTAGGGCACTTCTTAGAGTAGTCTCAGACTTAAAACCAGTTATAATTTTATATTACTTAGCAATTCGCCTGGTCTTCTCCGATGTTCCTTTCACATATGGAATCGTCAGGAGAGAAAGAGCATCCTCCTCAGGCTGGCGTACCAATGAGTCGGACCAGCAATCAGATCTTGCAAAATCCCTAGACAATATTATATCCAATTAATAAATACCCAACAAATTCACGAGTGAATGCTCGTGTCTATAGTATATAAGCTCAGTAGTTTTAGGATTTAGTTTAGTTTACACTTTACACCTGATAACGGTCAGTGATGCTTCTGATCGAAATTAGATATTCTTACACACAATTTAATGACAAAGCGAATGGCAATAGTGTAAAATTCCGTTACAGCCCTGAAAGGGTACTTACCATTAGGGTAGAAAGTACTACTGGTGGTACATCTTTTATCCTTATAGATACAGTAATTTCAATAAATGAAGAAAAAGGGTGCTCTTCGTTTAGTTCGAAAAAGTGAACGGTTTTCAAGTTATTTGCGTTTAAAGGTTCCGATGCATCTATTTTATCAGTAGTAGCGAAATCAGGAGATTAATTTATTTAAATTTCTTTACATTTTATCATTTCACTAATACTAAAATCTATGCATCGTAATCTTTAAACGGAAATATCTTAAAAACCGTTCACCTTTTCGAACTAAACGAAGAGCACCTTTTTTACGTAAAAAATTCTTTTTATATTATTTGTTGAAGTTGGTGTATCTATAAGGATAAAAGAAGTACCACTAGTAGTACTCTCTAACATTATGGAAAGTAAACTATGGGCGTTACTGAATTTTTCACTACGCTATTCGCTTTGGCATTAAAATTTGTGTAAGTGTACCGAATTTCAGGAAAAACGGTTTACCAACGTTCTTAAAAATAAACAAAATAGATATTTTATTTTTATTTAATCTTTCGAGAGCTGTAACTTGTTCGGGAAGCATTTTAACATATGCCTTATGTTTATAGGAACTTTTTGTTTTATTTTTATCTGTCGAATTACCCACCAAAGTTATATACACTATTTTTTTGATACCCTGTTTAACAAAATATAACTACAAATTTTCAATCCTCTTAAGCAATCTATGTGTCTCATTTTCTAGTTTTTGTAGCCGACCGTACCAACAGGTATGGTGGACTATTAAGATCGGCAAAAAAAAGTTTTTTTAATTTCACTCAAAATGAGTTATTTGGGTCATAAATGACCTAAATACAAAATATTTTCATGGTGTCTGTCTGTGTGTCTGTCTGTAACACGATAAGTCAAAAACCGCTAAACCGATTTTAACCAAATTTGGCACAAAAATACTGTGGCACCCGAGAATCTCGCCATTAGTTTTTGGTGGAGGTGGGGGGTTGGTAAGGGGGTTTGGGAGGGGGTTAAAATTTTTAAAAAATCGTAACTCCAAAATTACAGTAGCTAGCGAAACGCGGTTTTCAATTTAAGATTAGGAATAATATTTGCAACAAAATTTGTAATAACATCAAAATCAGTCAAAGTCGCAGTTTTTGAGATATTCCGTGTTTGCGTAGTCCGTTTTTGAGAAAATCCGTGTGGAGAACTCCAAACTCTCATCGGACGCGACCCCAGGTGGCGGATAGGGGAAATAACCGCGAACCAAAATTGGAAAAATTCCTTTACTTTGAAACTAAAAGAACTGCCTACCAACTTTTTATTAACATATTTTAGTATGGGCGGCTATACGTGCCTCCCGGTGCCAATTTTTTTATTTGTACATCATATTATTAATTTTCCAAAATAATAATATATTTCCATATATATAATAATATATTTCCATATATTATTAATTTTCCAAAATAGACGTATAATATTCTATATAAACTTGATGTGTTTGTATATTTCAACTGCCTACCAACTTTTTATTAACATATTTTAGTATGGGCGGCTATACGTGCCTCCCGGTGCCAATTTTTTTATTTGTACATCATATTATTAATTTTCCAAAATAATAATATATTTCCATATATATAATAATATATTTCCATATATTATTAATTTTCCAAAATACTAAGATCAAAATACCAGAAACTAAAAGAACTCCCTACCAACTTTTTATTAACATATTTTAGTATGGGCGGCTATACGTGCCTCCCGGTGCCAATTTTTTTATTTGTACATCATATTATTAATTTTCCAAAATAATAATATATTTCCATATATATAATAATATATTTCCATATATTATTAATTTTCCAAAATACTAAGATCAAAATACCAGAAACTAAAAGAACTGCCTACCAACTTTTTATTAACATATTTTAGTATGGGCGGCTATACGTGCCTCCCGGTGCCAATTTTTTTATTTGTACATCATATTATTAATTTTCCAAAATAATAATATATTTCCATATATATATAATAATATATTTCCATATATATTATTAATTTTCCAAAATACTAAGATCAAAATACCAGAAACTAAAAGAACTGCCTACCAACTTTTTATTAACATATTTTAGTATGGGCGGCTATACGTGCCTCCCGGTGCCAATTTTTTATTTGTACATCATATTATTAATTTTCCAAAATAATAATATATTTCCATATATATAATAATATATTTCCATATATTATTAATTTTCCAAAATACTAAGATCAAAATACCAGAAACTAAAAGAACTGCCTACCAACTTTTTATTAACATATTTTAGTATGGGCGGCTATACGTGCCTCCCGGTGCCAATTTTTTTATTTGTACATCATATTATTAATTTTCCAAAATAATAATATATTTCCATATATATAATAATATATTTCCATATATTATTAATTTTCCAAAATAAACGTATAATATTCTATATAAACTTGATGTGTTTGTATATTTCAACATGTTTATCAGTAGTGATAATAATTTATCAATTTAATCATTTAAAAATTCTACTGTATTTTTTAGATTTGCCCTTTACAAAACTTGTAAGTTTGTAGGTTGATATTTAATACAGTAATTAAATTCAAGATTAAATTATGTCTGTGACTTCTGTAAGTAAAATAATATTCCATATTTGTATATAATTAATAAATAAAAAAATAAATTAATGCACTTTAGTTTCTAAATTAAATATTCAGTCATTTTACATTTAAAAACTCGTAGGTATGTATTTAATACATTTACATTAATAGTAAACAACCTCTTTTAACGATAGCTTGACAAAATGGAAATAATGGAAACTATCGTTAGGGGTGTTAAACTTTATACACATATCTTATAATCGAAAATTTATACATGGTGGTCCGAACTGTATTCCGGAAACTTCGGTAGCATATTCGTCAGATAAAAATAAGTAAAAAAGTTCTTATAAATGTCTTGTCCTAAAATGTTTAGTTTGGGAAATACAGGGTGTAAAAGTCTCATTTTTATTTCGATTTTTTCTCACTCAGTAGTTTTATGCAGGTACGGGTACGGACTAAAAGTTAGTATTCTTCAAAACAGTTAAAACATATGTAGGTGGCACTCTCTGTAAGTAGAAGTCATACTGACATCAAAATCAAATTTCTCATGTCATAAAACTTTCAGACACTAATTTTCATCCAAATATTGACATTACTTCAAAAATTATTTAGAAAAAATCGAAATAAAAATGAAACTTCTACACCCTGTATCTCCAAAACTAAGCATTTTAGGATATACATTTATACAAAATTTTTTACTTATTTTTATCTGCAGAATATGCTGCCGAAGTTTCCGGAATACAGTTCGGACCACCCTGTATATAAAAAGTTCATTCGTGGTCTTTGTTAACATTGATCAATGTTTATAGGTAACTTGACCCCCATTGTTTATCCGGTCATACGGTATTCTTCGATATTTGTCTATTTCTGTCACTATTTCAATTTTAGCAAACACCTACTGTGGTTCCAGTTCCTTTTGACCCGCAGGCCGATGCTAAAATTTTAAATGAGGCTATGAGAGGATTCGGTACAGATGAGAAATCAATTATACATGTTTTGGCTCACAGACCAAATGCTCAAAGGCTAGAAATTGCTTCTCAGTTTAGAACCCTTTACGGGAGAGTAATAAAAATAGACTAACATAGGAGTTTTTCTTAACACTCTTACTTATTGGATTTTTTAGGATTTAGTAAATGATTTAAAATCTGAAACAAGTGGAGACTTTAGTATTCTACTTGTTGCTATGATGACACCACTTCCTGAATATTATGCTAAAGAATTACATGATGCTATCATGTCTTGGAAACAGATACAAGTCTTGGGAAGAGGTAAAAATGTGCTGATTGAAGTTTTATGTACCAAGTCGAATCAAGAAATTATGGTCATCAGACAAGCATACGAAGCTTGTATGTTATATATTTCCTTTGAGTTCTTTTCTTTTCTAATTTTTTTTATTTTCAGTGTATTTTAAAACTTTAGAAGAGGATTTAAGAGGAGACAGCAGTGGTACATTCAGAAGGCTAATGGTATCCTTGTGTAATGCTGGTCGGGATGAAATTATGGTTGTAGATGAAAACTCTGCCAGAACAGATGCTCGAGAATTGCTACAGGCTGGAGAACTTCGATTGGGTACAGATGAAAGAACTTTTATTATGATTTTGTGTCAAAGAAATTTGGCACAACTTCAACTAATATTTCAAGAATATTATAATTCGACTGGTTAGTACATGTTAGATAATTTTTGGAATACTTCTTAATTAAACAAGTTAATTTTTGCTACTGCTAAGTGTTATATATTATTTAACTTAAGTATTTTTAGGTCATGATATTGAAGAAGCAATAAAAAATGAATTTTCTGGAAACTCCAAGGATGGCCTCCTTGCTGTTGTGCGATCGATCAAGAATCAGTCTGCTTTTTTCGCAAAATTGCATAAGAAATCTATGAAGGGACTGGGTACAAATGATAGTGGTTTGATTCGATTGGTTGTGACTCGATCAGAAATTGATATGGTCGAAATTAAGGCAGCATACCAATCTTGCTATGGAGAATCTCTAGCTGATGCTATTAAAGTATGAATCAATCTCTTAATACATTATAAGTAATATAATAGATTTATTTGAAAATTTTAGGGTGACTGTTCTGGTGATTACATGAAATGCCTTTTACATCTTATTGGGGAAGCTTAAGCTACATTTTTTATGTCGTTACTATAAGTATACATTATTACATATGTAATTGTTACTCAAATCACAACACTTTATAAAATAATTTAACTTTCTTAATTTAACTTCTTAGCTTTAGCATGGGTTACGATGTTCTATCAAAGTTTAAATTGTATAGCATATTGTCGACCCGATATCATTCTACATTGGGTCTAAATAAGGGTGAAATGAGGCGATATTAATACGTATACGCATACCTTTATTTTCTTTCTTAAAATTCTAAATTGTAGAGAGGTTTCACCCGGGCCGCACAGAACTCGCTACAGAACTTGGTTTGCGTTGTTGTCAGATGCTCTTTATCGATATATAATTCATTCCTTTTATGACGACATAAAATTAAAAATTATTTTATTTACAACCATGAAACATGTTGAATTAGTATATAAATATTTAGATTAATAACTCCATTATACAGGTTGTCCCAGAAACTAGTGCAAGTATTTTAAAGGGTGGTAGATCTCGATAAAAGAAACATATTTTCTCTTTATCGTTTTTCAAATAAGTCCAAAATAACGGAGTTATTTTACTTTAAAAATTTCCAAAGAAAAATATTTTTTTTTCTAAAATTTTGAGAACCACTGGAGCTTTTTTGTGGATTTTCTTTATTGTAAATTTAATCTAGTACCTATGTGGCCATATTATCAAGAAATTATGTTTTTTAACTAAAAACTAAAAAAAAATCCCAAAAAATTTTGAATTTTCAATTTTTTTTTTTACGAAAAAAACCACATAGGCCTGTTTCTGGGGTTGAACTATACTACCAGTTAAAATACTTGCAATTATTTCTGGGACACTCTGTATAATATTGATAAATAGATAGATAATCTTTATTTATTTCCCAAAAATACATGGCCTCTATGTATTTTTGGGAAATATTATGGGCATGGAATCAATGTCACATAATCCAAAACAAAAACAGGTACATATTAACAGTTTTAAAGTACAGTGTTATAAGTACAAATATTTAAAACTAAATTCTAAAATATAAGTATATAAAATCTTATACCTATCTATAATATTTGAATACTATAATATTTATAATAATATTATTAAAACTAAAAGAAACAACAAAGTAAAACGAAGAATAAATCAAAAAATGTAAGAAAGAAACTAAATATAAATATTTTATCATTTCAAAATTATACATAATGTCTCCATTTGATTCTAAAAATACATCTGGCTTATAAATAGAAGGCATTTTAGCACAAGAATTATTCTTCCAAAACACTTTTATTGCATTTGAAGGCAGTTGTCAAACTGTTTCAGGAAGGAAATTAAATATCTTAATTAACATTTAATCAACATTTTTTTGTAAGTAACTGAAATTATACTTGTCTGGAAAAAAAGATTGTTTTTATTTTTAGTAAAAAATTACTACTTTCAAGATATACATGGTGTTAAGATTTTATAGGTTCTAAAAAGGTTTTTCAAGTGGATTCAGATTAAAAATATTTCGTATACATCTTTTTTGTTATATTAGTATTCTTTGAGCATCAGAAGCATTCCACAAAATAAGTCCGTACTTGATTCTAGAGAATATAAATGCATAGTTAGAACACATTGGCTGCATCGACACCAACTCTTAATGCATATCAAATTAAAACAGTGCAACTTTAGTTGGCACTTTGTCAACATTCAACATGCAATCCAATCCCTAACCAAATCTATTATTATTCGCTCCCAAGAAGGGAGGACACACTATGTACTAGAATTATTGAATCTCTACCATTTATCAATTGATCTACGAGAGTAATCACTGATTTTAATATTAATTTTAATCACGTCAACACTTCATTTGCCTTAATATGACCGATATTTTTTTTCCACAACAAGTGGCTGTCCTCTGCCGGAAACACTGCGACCTGTAAGGCCTATTGTGTTTGTTCCCTTTCTATATCTGCTCCCATTCTCCTATCCCTGTGCCCTGCACTACCTTATGCAGGTCTTTGATAGAATGGGAGCATAGTTCCTCCGGTTCTAGCCTAGCTTTCCCAAATAAAAAGTGTCGCTTGCGATCCAGAGCCTCGCAGTGACATATTATGTGCTCCGCTGTTTCAGGATCTTTATCGCAGAGTCTGCAGCAAAGACTTCCTTGATACAGGTTGAGCTTGTTCAGGTAACACTTGACAGCCATGTGTCCTGTCAAGAGGCCTGTTGTAATCCGCACTTTATTTCTGCTAAGCATTAGCAGTTCTTTTGCGGTTTTAGAGCTAGGTCCTTGGATAAAAGCCTTGCTGTGTCTGTGCCCCTGTCTGTTTCTCCAGTGGACATTCTGCTTTTCCCTGATCCAGAGTTTTAGTGCACTACGGGCCATACATTTGGGTATTCGCAGTAGTGGCTCTGGACCAAGATAGGATGCCGATGATCCTTGCCTAGCTAGCTCATCGACTTTTTCGTTGCCTTGGATGCCGCTGAGGCCGGGCACCCAGAATAATTTAATTCTGTTCCTTCGAGCCAGACCTCCCAGTTCACCTAGGCATTCCCAGACGAGTCTCGACGATACCTTTGGGCTCATAAGCGCCCCAAGTGCCGCCTGACTGCATGTCTGAGCATATATTGATGAGCTTACCTGAATAAGCCCTTCTATTGTTTTCTCTCGCACATTGTAGAATAACGAAGATTTCTGTCTGGAATACGGTTGAGTGTTTACCCAAAGAAAAGGATAAACTTACCCTTGGTCTTTCCCCAAATACTCCAGCTCCTGTTCCTTCAGCGGTCTTTGACCCGTCTGTATACCAGGTTAGTCCATCCTGAAGGAATGTTATATACAGATATAACATTCCTTCAGGATGGACTAAAGGAATGTGGACAGCCACATTCCTCGATCCATTTTGTACACCTCGAATGGTTTGTGGTAGTGATAAAGAGGGGTCATTTGGTCCGATCTCATTTGGAGTAGAGGTCTTCCAATAGAATCTCCCATCTTTGAGTGTCCTGTTTCTGTCCTATTTCCTAAAGACAAGACACTTTGTTGTCGATAGAGTCCCATTCTTGCGTCCGCCTGGATCACTAAGTGAAGAGGCGGAAGGTCCAGAAGCGCCTCCATTGATGCAGTGGGCGTTGATTTCATCGCCCCTGTTATGCTCAGACAAGCAAGTCTTTGCACCTTGCTGAGGCTGAACATTGTTGTTTGTTGCATTACCTTAGGCCACCATACCAAGGATGCATATGTTACTGAAGGCCTCACCACTTCAGTGTACAGCCAGTGCACCATCTGTGGTCTGAGGCCCCAGATTTTTCCATGAAGTCGTCTGACTACCGCTAGTGTAGCCACCGCCCTAATATGACCGATATACCCTTAACTTCCAAATTTCCAGAAAAAGGAAAATAACTGTAAACTTGGATAAATATACACAAAATTAACGTAATTTTTATAATAAAATATACGATAGATAGGATAATAAACAGTTTAGTAGGCAATCAACAATTATTATGAATAACCTATATAAAATTATACCAGGGCAGTCTTAATTTATACCACATAAATGGCATGTTGGCTAAAGAATATTTACCAGAATATTATTTCATGAGAAATTTAAAAATATTCTGATGAGAATCCCTCGCATTTAGTATAATCCGAACCGACACAACATAATTTAATAAATCCAGATTTGCATATGATCCGCAAACTCCAAATGCATGTCAATTTCCAACTTCGTACTGCGTTACTCTATTATCTTAATCATATAAAATGTCAAATATCGTATGTAAAATTCAGCAATTACCATGCTTACTAGTTTTTAACCTACTTTACGAATGCTACAATGTTACAAAAATAGGGAATGCTATAAACAGGGTGAGTCTTAATCTTTTTTGATATTTTCCAAGTAAAATATATCGGTTATTTGGGATTTACTTGAAAAACGTTAAAGAGAAAATATGTTCCTTTTATCGAGATCTAGGAGCCCTGAAAATATTTGCACTTATTTAAAACCTACCTTGAATAAGTATATAAGCTCGTAGTTAAGCAAAATAAACGTAATAACAACAAACAGGGTGGTCCGGACTGTATTCCGGAAACTTCAGCAGCATAATCTACAGTTGAAACTAAGTAAAAAGTTTGTATAAATGTATGTCCTAAAATGCTTAGTTTCGGAGATACAGGATGTAGAAGTTTCATTTTTATTTCGATTTTATCCAAATAATTTATGAAGGAAGTTTTTTGACATAATTTTTTTTATTATTACCATCTGGTCTATAAAATGTTTATACTTATCTATGACTCTCGTATCGATCCGACAAACATTATCACCGATCGTCATGACAAAAGCCATTAATATATTACGCCGTTGTTTATGATTGTATATATGGAACTTTATCCATTAAATTTTTATTAGAAACCATAATACAAAAATGAATTTAAACAGTTACGTTTAGATACGTAGTGTTTGTGGGCGAATTTCAATTATCTATTTTACGACAAAACCAGGATGTATTTATTGGTATAATTTGATAATGCACCAGTGGTCACACGGTCAAGGCGATCATTTAATAAATACAAGAGAAATTTAGGTAATGAGTGTAATATTGAGATATTTTTTCCTAAATAACAAAAAATACGGTGGTCAGTTTTAAACAAAAAATTATATACACTGACTGGCACAGAAAAGGATACCTTAAAAGCTTCATTAATTTTAAAGTTAAATATATTTTGTTCTAGTGGGCTTCTTTTTGAAGAAATTTGTAGCAAAATTATTTGCTTTTTATCCTCTTTATAAACTAAAAACTAAAGTCCCTATCTGTGGGTTACACCAGGAAAAAGAAAATATTATTTTAGCGAAAGTTTGAAATACCCTCTAGGATGGTTTAACAAAATTAGTAATTTACTTAGCCAAGGTACCACTTTTTTTGATAGTTTGGTTTGGTTTGTTTTTTCGTGCATCTCAATAAGTAGCTTTATTTTTATTTGAGATATTTCCTTTTGAAGAAGAAAGTAAAGATTTAAAGCAATTTTCGCATCAAAATCATGCCTTTGCATTTGGTCCTCATCAACACACCTATGAAATCTTCTTCTAGGAGATGCGAGACTCTGTCGTTGACGGAGGAGCCCCTAGTACCCTTATCTCACTGTCTTGTTTCTGGCTGTAGTGTTGTGGCCATGGAATTGCACCAAGACGTATAACTATGCCGGATGGGACAACCCTGTCTTCAGACCAGGCACCCTGTACTGTCTGTGATCATGTATCAAGGGAGAAGGTGTGAGTTTTGGCTTAACCGCCCGGACCAAGAGCAGACAACCTCGCCAAAAACTTAAATCCCACGATGTCGGGACCAGGTCCGTGGCTAGATAGAAATCTAGTCTCTACTGGTATCTCCTTGGGGCACAAGGGGGCAACCCATTGTATTCTCGTCTCTCGTACATGCGGGCTCTGTGGAAGTGGACCGACTAACACTTACTGTGTATCATCAGCTTTGCCAGAACTGTAGGAGAGTCATCAACTCGCGGGAGGAGGGCCATGGTCAGGTCCTCACAATAGGAATTGACCTCAAATCCAAGGAGGCAATAGAGAAAGAGAGATATATTCTCTATTACAGATCCGGGACAATACTGGTATCATGTCTAAGGAGAGACTAAGTTAAAGAGGTGGAAAAAATGGAGACAGATCCTCCACTCACCACCTCAAGAGTACCTCAGCTGGAGACAAGTTCCTCGACTGTGAAGGGTCCGGAGAATTAAACCCCTACCATAAGAGGGTGTATATATACCCTCGTAGGAGATAGATACCCTGCTCCCATATACAACAGGTAGATGTGTATGATGTATGAATGCATGAATGTATGATGAGTTATAGACTGTATGATGAGCTATAACTCAGGAAAGGAGGACGCAATAGATCTTTAAGGTCGCGGTGATTAACCTCCCTTCTTATCATTATACATGGTCTATATATATTAATAACCAATACTGTTATTTTCAATAGCCTTCTTGACTGGTCAGTACTTCAGGTATTCTCTCTAATGCCTTCTCGACATCAATAAAGGTAATTTAGTCATTCGTAATATATTAAAATACTTTTTACGCTATTTGAACAAATTGGATTGAATTAAAACAAAATCACAATGGCGATATCAGTTCAATGTACTTACGAGTATTTTGATTAGCTTACTTTCAAATTTAAATCCACAAACATGTATGAAAACGACAACCAAACAGTATAAACGAATTTAAAAGTAATTTTTGTTGTATTCCGACATAAAGCAGCCAAACAAACGATGCATTTGCACGAAAAAGCGCTCGGTGAAATGACAAAAAGAACGAGTTTTTTTGATAAATGCGCGATGCATTCAAAAAGTTGGAGATGGAATGGCCGGAAATGTTTAACAAACTAATTTTAAAGTACTAATGGAGAGTATTTTTCACCTGTTCTCCACGATCCAAGAGAGAACAATATATTTTAGGGGATCTTAAATTTCCACAGAGTTGAACTTTTAAATTAAAGTTGATCTCTAATAAATATGTATTTGAACTAGTACTGACACAGTTGGTTTGCACAGTGACTTTCAGTAAAAAGTAAGTTTACATTTTGTATGTATATCTAATAAGAATTTTGTGATAATGTAAAAATCTTTATTGTGTCTTTCAGAGTTGTGTATAACTCACAATTCGAAGTCAGAGTCACTGCGTCTCTCATCAGTTACAGTTCGAAGGCTATTGTTTCGAGACATGATCCTTTAAACACATGCCTCTTTATTGGGGTAGTGCAATGTTTGTTTATTTATATTAGTAATTGATTGTTAGAAGCCCTAGTGAAACAAGGTATTTATAGGCCTTATATAGAAACTCTCGCCAATATATACAAAGAAGACAAAGCAAGAGTAATGATATATAAAACAACTCCAGAGTCCCTAACTAGCAATGGACTACAACAGAGAGTACGCGATATCAACAAAGCTGTTTACATGTTTACAGCAACATTAGAAAAAATCTTTCGTCAAGCAAGCATTAAAAAGAGATGGATATAACCATATATATATATAACCTATATATTTAAACCTAGAAGTTTGATTCTGAAGGTGAGTAAGGCTATGTTACATCAGTGCGGTGCCGAAAGGTAAAATAGGAAAAAATCTTTCGAAATATTAGTAAATCACACAGTTTTGGAATGTACCGTTATAAGTAATGAACCATTACATTAAGTTAGTTTCGTCACGTTTGGTTTTATTGAATATCTTGATCATAATATTTAAATATTATCAAAACCAAGTATACAAATGCGAATATTAATTTGTTGAAAAAATATATAAAAAAATTATTGATGTCACAATTACGAAAAATGTTCAATAGTGGTATACCATGTGATCGAAAAAAAAACGGCGTATATGGGGAATGTCACCGATGTTCCTTTCTAAGCCAACTGGACGCCTTTTTTTTCGATTATACTGATTGTTATTAGGATTTTTAGTTATTAAAGATGATTTTTTAAGTGTAAAATCAAAATAGATTTATATAATGGATAGTACATACTAAATACCGTATGATCAAAAAAAAAACCGCGTCAAAGACTGCTGGGAATAACAATCGAATATAAATTTGGCGAGGTCTATTTCTAGATGTCATTTATTAAAAATTGACATAAAACTTGTCAAAAACTAATACTGATTATAGAAAAATTATAAAAGGATAGAACGTTTCCAGAAACACAAATCGATATCCAAAAAAAAAATTTCGAATTTTCGAAAAATCAAATACAACCTTAAGGCGTACTACTGCCAGTAAGTGTCATTAAAAAATAAACAAGAGTAGGGGTCATGACATATCACCTTGCCAAAATTATCACCGATTGTCATTTTTGACGCCGTTTTTTTTTGATAGTATAATTTTTGTAATAGAGGAATGTATTTTTTGTTTTGTTTATTAACACTAAAAAAAATTATATAGTTTAACAGATGAATGCGTCTTTGTTTGATATGTTTTATTGAATAGTTAATTATTTATTCAGTACAAGGTCCCGATTATCCGCGAAGAAACTGATCCAGAAATAAGTAAATATTTTAAAAATTTTCTTATGTTTAACAAAGATCTTTATTATTGTTGTTATAAATAGTAATATTTTTAAACCTAATATTAAATTGCAATTCGTCACGAGAGTTTTAAAATATTCTCATTTTTCACGTTGCTTCAATCAAAATAATACCATAAGTTCACATAAATGTTTTATAAAAGTCGTCTTTCTTCACATAAATGTTTTATAAAAGTCGGCTCGTATTCATTGAACGTTTGATGGATTATAATACTACTGGAGCAATTTACAGACATTACTATGGAAATGTGCATATCATAATTTCAATTAGTTATTTTCGTATAGAAGTGATTGGAGTATAGAAGTAGTCATTTTCAAAATTTGAAGAGCCATCTAGCACAACAATGTATCATATCCAAAAATCATATTTACGAGAATATAATATTAAATTATATAATATTACAATCAAAGCAACTACGCCACTGGCACACATTCTCAAGATCTCTGAACAGCGTTGCCATTCTCTCGGGAATCCTTCATGACTGCGATCAGCCCGTCTTGTTCCCACTCGCATAGAACAAGAAACGAATGTCTGATTCTGATCTTTTTCTTTTTATGAATGAAATGCCGGGTCTACTTTATTTAGAGGTCATTGGTATCAATCAATACTTAATGCTAAAATCCTCTAACATAGTATTGACAATTATTTCGATCATTGTTCATTGCTCTGTATTATATTTTTTTGTGATTTAGTTCATTCTCATTTTTCTGCACCCGGTATATATCTATACCGGGTGTTTCTCTAAAGTGGCTCGCCCCTATAACTTTTTTATTCTTTCACATAAATAAACGTTACGTTAATACATGACATAAATTAGGATTGATTGAAGTATTCAATTGTTTTCGGACTTTTAATTTTTAACTAAAGGTGGCTACACACACTACTGCAAGCTTGACAAGCATGCATGAACAATATTTTTGTACAAACATGCATAATTCACCTTCGCCGCCACACGGTACAAGCATTCTTGAACAAGCTTCAGTTTATGCCGCGAAAAAGAAGAAGGAAGTCCGCGAAAAAGAAGAAGGAATTCTGAAGGCATTTATATTTTTAACCTTCTTCACCCTATCATGATATTCTGATTTTCGTATGCGCGAATTTCAGATCGCTAGACATGATGGCGACGCGACGACAGGTCATTTACGATCACGGACTGAACTAATTGTTTGTACAAGCTGAATACGTGTGGTAAGTACCGTTTCGCTTGCGCAAGCATGGCTTGTCCAAGCTTGCATGATTCAAATTCAATCAATTATCAAGGGGCTTGCACAATTAAAATGCTTGCGCAAATTTTACCTACAGACGCTACAGTTTGCTTGTACAAAAAGATTTTTCATGCATGCTTGTCAAGCTTTAAGTATGAGTAGCCACCTTAACACCTTCGATGTTTTTCTACTTTATTCGACAGAAAATGATGTCTGAATATAATGACATATTATCATACAACAACTCACTGCCAACAATTTCGTTCTTTTATCTATAAAAATAAAAAATAGGGGTGAATCACTTTTGAGAAACACCTGGTATAGTCTCAATATAATCCAATCGGATATCTTAGAGATCTATATTTTTATTTCTTGTTTAGTTTCGAGAAAGTCGTACAATGAATATAATACATATCCAATTGCTATGTATACACCAATATGTACGCCAACAACACACATAATATGTACGTGTATGTGTACGACCATATGTAGGCCAATAAAAACCGGAAGTAAAATTGCATTTTATTTCCAATTTTGCTGAAAATTACATGTGCCGGTCTTTCAAGCCGGTCAACGTACCCATAAAACGGTCAGTCTCTTCTCTATTTCTTCTCAGTGCTTCAAAACTTTGCCTCAAAAACTTCCAGCGCCATGCAACGTTGGATATGTAAAAGCTCTAAAGCATTTCAGCGAGAATGAGTACAGCATGAAGGAATGACCTCTCTATGTGCACTTCTCTGATGCCAGATATCATCGTTGCATTTGGGAAAACTTGTCTAACTTAGTCTTATCCTCAGAGTAATAAAGACTTAAGCACTAGTTCCGAAACTACAGTTTTCGTAAAGTTATAACTTTGTAATTAAGCCATAGGGAGCTGTCATATTATGGTTTGTGATATAATTATGAATAACGTATGGGTATGCCATTCATGTTACATATCTTTTAAATAGATTATTAATACGTATTAACTGAGAAAAAAATTCACATACCTATCTCTTGATAGGACAAAAATTAAAGGTAGCCCTTTTTTGTTCCATTAAAAAAACAATATTAAGTTAATTCAGAGATATTCATAGAACTAATGCACAGTTTTTGATACTACCAAGTCACTTATACCGGGTATTTTTTAAAAATGTTATACCTAAGTATAACTTTTTTTATTTTTTCAGATAAAAAAACGAAATTTGGCATGTTAGTGGTCGTTGGCATGTAAGTGTCGTTACATTTACGGCTATGGCACTAAAGATTGAAATTTAAAATGCTATATTTTCTAATTGAAAATGTTAAAAGTTGACATATTATGATTCATTCTATACAGAATGTCATTTTCTAGCAAAATAAAACACGTAGGGTTCGATTTAAAAATCGAAAGTTATAGTCATTTCCAGTGAAACAGGAAATGAACAAAACTCAAATTTAGTGCTATATTTTTTATAAAAATATTGTTTATTTTGTATATAACAAACTGTATATAAATATATCAACTTTAATTCCTAAATTATTTTTTTTATAAATTTTAGTATTTGGTGTTATACAATATTAATCAAAAGGGTTTTTACCCTAACTTTAAAATACCCTGTGCAATAATTTCGTGAGCAAATTCTCCTAAAACATTATTTTTCACACCATGTCTCTTTAGCATTTTGTTTTTTGCATCATATATCATATGAATAAAAGCATTGGTTATTTTTAAGAGCGAAATATATTTACTTCTAACAATTTACAAATATTTCAATTACCATTTCTTTTTTACGTTATTTTCCAATATGACGAGATGGTTACAGTTGAGGGTTGGAACCTTTGGTGTTACACAGCAAAATAAAACACTAAATCACCACAATACACCAAAACACTTTTACTTTTACACTGGACGCGCGTTTCTCTAATCATGTTAGCATCATCAGCAGATGATTATAAACTAAAATAAAATCTTCAAGTTGAGCGTTTTTATACTCGCTCAGTGGACACCGAGTGGGCGTGGCAAGATCTAGCCAACCGAGTCAGAGTCCACCGAGCGTAACAGTTAAATTTCCGCCACTAGAGTAATAGGAACAAAGAACTTGAAGGAACTGGACCGTTGTCTCTGTTCATACTATCTTTACATTTATTAATTCTGATGCTTTCACATGCATCTAATTGCCTGTAATTTGAGACTTCTTTAATTAATTTTAAAATATTAAGATCTATACAATGTTCTTTATCAACAACATGTTCGGCAACGCAAGATTTATCCGGTCTACCATATCTGATCTGAGCTAAATGTTCTTTAAATCTAGTTAGTATTGATTTTCTAGTTTGCCCAACATATTTCTGATTACAATCTTTACAAGAAATTTCATAAATACCCGACCTTTCCAGTGGAGGTGTTTTATCCTTTGGATTACCTAATAATTGTTGTAATTTTTTATTAGCACTATACACAAGTTTATAATTGACATTCTTAAAAATTCCTTTTATACCACAGGATAACTTTCTATCAAACGGTATTGAAAAATATTTTGACGTATCTTTCTCTACTTAAAAAGTCGAATTTTCAGAAATCATTAACCTATACCTATATACGTTTTCTAATTATTTTATCAACTAGTGAAGGAGAATATCCATTACACTCCGCTACATTCCTAATGTAATCTCTTTCTATTTCATATCTTTCGCCAGAAAGTGGAAAACTAAGAGATGGCTTTGGTGATTATAGTGAACTATACAGGGTGCTACAAATTCGAGGTACGAGCATTGGTATCTCGGTAACCGTAATAGATACGAACATGGTTAAATTGGGGCAAAGTTGCGTATTGGGTTGTTCACCAAGATGCTATCAAAAAAGTTTTAAAAATTTCAAGGATTGCTGAGTTTTTTGGAAAAAACTGATTTTTTTGAATATCAGTTTTAATTTTTCCTGTCGTCACTTTTTAGAAAATCAAAAAACTAATTACACATTCTCATAGCCACTTTATTAGAGCTATCTGACGGTATTTTTAGATTTTCAACTTAGCTCATAATTTGTGAGATACAGAGGCCAACTTAATTTTTTTAAAAACGGACCTGCATTTTTTATTTCAGATTTTGAAAGAACTCGGTCTCCTGAGTATAATGATATGCCACACTTATTTTTTTTTTGTTTTGACATTTGAACACAATTTATATAAACCAATTTCAAGTTCGTCTCTGTTAAATATTTAATCTATTCATCGTTACAATATGGATAAACTTTCAAACTTAACAATGACGTGCGGTCAAACATTGTATACGGAAAATCAAATGCAATAAGATAATATAAAATAATTAATTAATATAATATAAACAATCAAAACCGGAAGATGGATTGGAAATGGTAGAGCAGTATAATGTCCAGCGAGGTTCCTGGACCTATCGCCAAGAGGCTACATTACTTCGTCATTTGACGTCATTTGTAAAAGTGAAAAAAATTCATCTCAACATTTACAATAAAGAGTACAAAATGCATTCGGAAGTATAAGAAAAAAAATTCAAAGAGCTATAAATAAAATTGAAAGAAAAATAAATTTGTGAAATAGGGAGGGTGGTAACCCTTTCGAACATATAGAACATTAGAAACTATAGTTTGTAGAAGTTGATGTATTTATAATAACTACGATTAATATTTAATTTCAAATTCACAATAAAAAAAAGTTAAAAATAATATGTTTAAATTTCTGACCTGGATATTATTTATTTGAATCTTCCAACTGGCTCGATTTTTCTTATTCGATGTTAATTAGCGCTGATCAATATCGTTGCAATGAATATAATCAGATTAAACAATTTAAAATTTAAGAAACTAGAGTAGGACTTGAAATTATTTTAAATAATAATTAAATAGTTTTGTTGCTGTTAAAGTACCCAAAACAAAAAAAAGTATTAAGTGTGGCATACCATTGTATTCAGGAGACCGAGTTTTGGATACGGACCTGCATTTTTTATTTCAAAACCTGAAATAAAAAATGCAGGTCAGTATTTAAAAAAATAAGTTGGCCTCTGTATGTCACAAATTATCAGCTAATTTGAAAATCTAAAAATACTATCAGATAGTCCTAACAAAGCGGCTATGAGAATGTGCAATTAGTTTTTTGATTTTCTAAAAAGTAACGACAGGAAAAAATAAAATTGATTTTCAAAAAAATCATTTTTTTCTAAAAAACTCAGCAATCCTCAAAATTTTTTAAACTTTTTTGATGGCATCTTGGTGAACATCCCAATACGCAACTTTGCCCCAATTTAACCATGCTCGTATCTATTACGGTTACCGAGATACCAATGCTCGTACCTCGAATTTGTAGCACCCTGTATACTAATATCACAGATGAACAGCCTAGCATGTTGGACAGATATGAACCATATAGAACACGTTTAGGAAATGCTTGTTAAGAGGATTAGAAGGTCGTAAAGCTATATTAAATGAAATTTCCACTTTGTTCTTAAAGCCAGAATGGGAAAACTTAACAAAATATGAAGTCTATTTGACAGTACAAACGGTGTCTACAGGCAGTTATAGAAGCCAAGAGAAGCAATGCAAAGTACCGTATGATCGAAAAAAAACGACGTCAGCGATGGCTATGAAATAAAGATCGCTGTCATGTGATTTGTAAATTTTTATGGGAACTGTCATCGTCGTCATCAATTGTCATTTCCTAGCCAAGTGGACTCCGTTTTTTTTTCGATCAAACAGTATTAGGGTATCTTTAATTTTTTTTCTGTTTTTATACTTGGTTATTACAGTTTTGTTTTCTTTAATATCGTTAGTCCTGTTATCGTTATTAATGTTTATTAAAACCAAGATTGTATCGTTACCCTTTTTATTTTTTTTTTAATTTAATATAGAGTATTCAATGCAGAGTAATATGACATTACGATGAAACAACATAAAAAGTAATTAAATTATTGGTGATAAGTTCATTTCGCTCTTAAAAATCAACCAAGGCATCTGTTGACATGAGACAAAAAACAAAATGTTCAGAAGACATGATTCTAACAGAAAAAAAAATGCGTTAGGAAAATTTACTGACGGAATTATTGCACAGGATGTATTAAAGATAAGGTAAAAAACAAAAATTCGATAGATCCTGTATAATAAAGCCCAATACTAGAGTTTATAAAAAAAACTAAGTTTACGAATTAAAGTTGTTATATTTATATACAGTTTGCCAAAAAATCATAAAAATTGGGCTAAAAATAAAAAATATAGTAACATTTTAAATTTGATGAAAAAATGTTCCGTTGTTAATGAAAAAATGAGAAGGGAAAGCAAAAATTAGTCACACGTTGGTTATAGATAATGATAGATTAATGAGCAATACAATAATAAAAAGAAAAAATATCAAATTGATTGAATAAAAATATAAATTAAAAAGAAATACTGAAAAGCGAAATAATCACATCAATTTCTAATTTTTAATAACGATGAATGAAAAAGGTAAGGAGTTAAAGAGGTGTATAAATATTTTGTCAAAATGTCTATCTAGGTACTATGCACTGTAATAACTAATGTAACTTGATGCCCTGTAGCGGAAAAAAAAATCTCGCATACAAACAACAAACCCTTAATTCTAATTACAAGGATGGTCCGATGCGGCGTGTGGTGTGTAAAACAATCCCAGTTTCCTGTGACGACATCATCGCATAAAAGGGCCAAACACCCGCAATGGATGACGTCACTTTACGTAAGCCACCCACGCTTAAATCGTAGGTTCTGCTAGACCTACTATACTACAGCATGACTACAGCTGATAGAGATGTAATTATGACTTAACAAAACAGTTACGTTCTTTCTTACATCACAAATCTGTATTAGATGAGACAACAAAAGCACTGTATTAACTAATGTAGAATATGCAAATTTCAACATAATAGTCCATTTTCTCGCCTACGCCAAAAAATTCAAACATTTTTCAACGTAGAAAAAAAAAGTTAAAGGGCTGGAGATTTGTCCTCGTTGAATAGGTTGTTAGTTGTTACTGTCCTTTTGTAAGCGACAAACAGTAATAATTTTTGCCACCATAAATCTGGCTTGTTTCATTTGTGATTTATAACGGCTATTTCCAGCTTTGTCAGCTTTTAAAGACTTATTTTTCACCAAATTGATCTTTTTGGATTGATATAATGCGTAATTTCCAATATAGCTACATTAATATTATGTAATTTAACTCTATATGTCTAAATTGTGTTATAAAGTATTTTTTATACCAATAAAAGGGATTTAATATTACAAAAATATTTTTAAACCATTTTTAAAGTATGTACCAGAGACAACTACTAGTTATCTCTGTATGTACCTAGTTATTAGAGGTTGCCTATAGGCAACTAATTAAACGCAAACCAAAGATGAACAGATAACAGCAATAACAGATATGTGGTAAAAATTCAAGATAAATAAGTTATGCAACTGTTTATACCGCTATTTGGACGTAAATGACATAATTTTTGTTCACCTAACCTCAATAATGTGATGTAGATTTCGGTGCATCAATAATTTTATTGAAATAATGCAAAATACAATAATTGATACAATTCGAAAACAATTTTTATGTGGTGTCAATTTAAATGAGTTTGTTTTCCCATGCGTAAGTGATATTTTTGACAATATTTATACTTGTAGTAATTAAATGAAATTTTTTAGAACATCGAAGAATTTTCTTTAGCTGATCAGGAACTTTTATTAAACGTAACAGTGAATTCAGATCTTGTCCTAAAGTATCCTTTAAAACTAGAGTATCAAAAGGCATTTTTGAAACTGATTCTTGGGAAATTAGAAAAAGGCAACTTGAAAGGGTCGATTGAAATACATGATGACTTTTATTCGGCTTATGGAAGGATAATATCAAGAAATGAGTCAAATTCTGAGTATTTTAAACACTATGTTGTTGATACTGATGTAATATCTTTAAAGGAAAACATAAACTTAATATCAGAAGGGACAACAGGATTAAAAACATGGCAGGTTAGTATGTATTTGAGTAACAATTATTAATAAGATAAGAAATTACAGTTATTGCAAATGTGTTTAAGTTAGCAGAATTTATTTTGACCATGTACTGGTAACAAACAATAAACATTTTTTATTTTGTCTTGTATAGTAGTAGCGAGAGTAGTAGGTACTAATACTGTAGGAATTGTCATTATGTAATGATCTTTCTTAACTTCTTTACCCTTGTATATTTGTGTTCCGTTTAGATTATTCTTAGATAAAAAAGGAGAGGTTTATGTTAAATTAAAATAATTTTACTTCATATTTGTGGAACTAAAGATTTTTTAGGATACATCTATAGATGATTTACATGAACTATTTTTTGATAACTTGTTGCCTGTACTTATACTTTTGTGTTTATTTGTTTTATACTTTAATTGCATATTTTATTGATATACAGGGTGTTTCAAAAAACATGTGCCATCTCTTAATAAGATTTATTTTTTATGTCAACATAGGTCCGATTCTGCTTTGTTTCTAAAAATAAATTAAATTAAATAAATAATTTATTAATTTTATTATTTATAATTAATAAAATTGCATTTATCTCATTAAGGAGATCGAAATCCACAAATTATCAAGATACAACTTTTAATCAGCATTACACAATTATGCTAACAAGAGAAAAAAAGTTAGTGGCGCACATCATTTATTTTCGAAAAGTATTCTAGGGATAACCCACATGCACATCCCTGGTGAACCTGTCGACACTTTTTTAGCATTGAAATGTGTGGCACTTATAGTAACTTTTACCCCCAAAATTTCATTCCAATAACTAGAAGGACTTGGAAGAAAATTATAATAAATTGAAATAAATTGAAAACTTTAAGCTCTTGTAGCTATAAAATAAAGCTGAATGTTGATATAAAAATAAGTCTTATTTTTACGCAAGGAATCTCCCCACGAGGGATAGCACATGTTTATTTGAAACACCCTCTATGTACAGATTTAAAATCACTTGAAAAGATACTTGCCCCCGTTATTAAAATTTGTGACCATTAATATTCAAGATTATGGCGAATGCGCAAGTTTTTGACGAAATTTTAATTTTAGGCATCTCTAGCTCTTTCTGAGTGGGCTTTGAAGAATAAGAATTATCTCAAAGATAAAACTATTCTGGAATTAGGATCAGGAATAGGCTTAACTGGACTTGTAATTGCACTGAAGTGTATACCTAAGAAATATATCTTCTCTGATTGTCATATTTCTGTTTTAAAAAACTTGTGTCAGAACATTGTAACAAACACTAGTGAAAATCGTGATAACTTTAGGCTTGAAGATAATGTGGTTCTGGAAGTTGAATTAAAAAGTAGTGTTAAATTATCAGCTTTAAATTTACCTTGGGAAGAAGTAGACTTAAGTATATGTAACAAGATTGGGAATATTGATATAATACTTGCAGCAGATGTAGTGTATGATAGTGATTTGTTTAGTTCCTTACTAAATTCACTGCAGTGTTTTGCTAAATATTGCAAAACTAAAGATATTATTTTTGCTTGTACTGAAAGAAATCCCGAGACTTTAAACAGCTTCTTGAAGTGTATTGGTAAGTTTTATAAAATTATGCTGTAATTTGAGCACTAAAATGGTTGTTTATTTTTAGGGGAACATTTTGTTGTAACTGAAGAAAAGTGTCCTGCTCAACAACATTTTATTTGGAGTCCTACACCTCAAGTTAAATTTTTCAGATTTATTTTAAAATAAGGTAAGTTATTTTAATTTATTTTTGTGTACATTGACATTCCAATTAATTTTTTTATAAAATTAGAACTTTTACCATTAATTAGGGCAATAATAGCATCAATTAATTTAGCACTTTTTAATTTTATTACTGTAATTTTGTACCTTAGTGGGTTATTATCTTGATAGGATCTTGGATTTAAAAGTTCATTAATTTGAAAACCGTTTTAACTTGGTTTCTTTAATAGAAGAGCGTTTTCTCAATAATTGATGCAATTAAATTAATGAAATAATTTATTTATCAGGTAGATTTAAGGACAGCAGATTTTTATTTCAAATTTTTAATTTGTTATGTTTTTTTACAGTTTACTTTATTTATTTTAATTAATTAAGAAGTGTAAGTCTATACAGAATGCTTCAAACATGTGCCATCTCTCGTTGGGAGATTCCTCACGTAAAAATAAGATTTATTTTTCATATCAACACGGGTCCTTTGAATAAGAAGACTAAGGAAGGAGCATAATGCTATCCATGTATTCATGCATGGTGGGCGGAAAAGCCACCATAAAAGCTCTCTAGGGTGGGGATCCTTGACAGTTCTGTTTGACGATTCATTTGACACATTTGAATTTGATTTGAAGTTTTGTGGATTTGTCAGTCTTTACGGAGCTTATTTTATGTTATTTATTATTTATTCTACTACTGATAGTTGTATAAAGGTAGTAAATCTAGATGGAAATTGTGGCAGAACTTAAATTAACAGTGACACTATCGCGATTTATCGAAAAAGACTCTAAAATAGTTGGTTGTGTAGCGTGCGGTAGATCTCGGCAAAAATTGAGTGAAATAATGGAACAACTTTTCGCTAGTAAGTGACTATAGGTATAATATACATACGTGTAGTAAACCGATCATTTATGAAATTCACTTAAATTAACTAAATTATATATTTTTCTTGCATTTTAGCTTTTATTTATTACTTGTCAAAGATTTAATGTCAAAGAATTTAGATATGTTAATTTGACTTACCTGCTTCAGTAGCGTATCGGATGTTTGTGTTAATAAATACTTATTATAACTTATCTATTTTTATTACAATTATATATTTTTATAACAATTTTAATAACTACCAACATTTATTCACAACGTAAAATAAAACAACAAATTATTGAGTCTACCCCACGTCTACCCTACATCATAGTTTTACATTTTTTAAATAAAATTAGAACGACACTGATAAACCGGAATTTAAGTCGGCCATATTTGAGGCCCATCGCGGTGTACCTAAGATTTTTGATATGCTCCTTCCTTAGTCTTCTTATTCAAAGCACGGGTCTGATTCTGTTTTGTACAGGAGGTTAAAGTTTTTATTTTTTTTCGATTCATTATAATTTTCTTTCAAGTGCTTTTTTAGCGATTTGAATGAAATTTGGAGGCTAAAAGTTACTATGAGTGCTACATATTTTAATGTTAAAATGTGTCGACCGATTCCCTAGGGACGTGCATATGGTATATATCACTGGAATGTTTTTCTAAAAAAGAAAACATGTGCGCCACTGTCTTTTTTTCGTCTTGGTGGCAAATTTGTGTAGGCCATTTAATGCCGATTAAAAGTTGTATCTTGATATTTTGTCCATTTTGATTTACTCTATGAGATAAACGCAATTGTATTAATCACAATTCTTAATAAAATAAAAAAATAAATTAATAAACTACTTATTTAATGTAATTTATTACTAAATTTTATTAAAATTTATAGCATCTACCGTGCTACCTACAGCAAAGTCTCCCAAAAATAATGGTATTTAAGATTTTAAAGTTATAGCTATGCATTTTTGCAGCCATGTTTATAGGACCTTTTTTCATATTTATTGTTGAGGAATCAATGAGTTTGGTTAGGTTATCTATTTAACGTTCAGGAAAGTTAAAAATGACATTAAATTTCTTAAATGTACCTACTATTAGGATTGGATTAAGGCAAATTAATTAAATTGTGTTTATCTCATCAAGCAGATCGATATTGCCAAAAACATTAACAAGAGACAGATTTTAATCAGCATTTAACGTTCTACACAGATTTTCTAACATTAGAAAAGAAAGTCAGTGGCGTACATATTTTTATTTAGAAAAATAATACAGTGATGACTATATGCACGTCCCTGGTGAATATGTCGACCCTTTTTTAATATGAAAATATGTAGTTCTCGTAGTAACTTTTACCCTCCAAATTTCATTCAAATTGCTAAAAGCACTTGGAAGTAAATTATAATAAATCGAAAAAGGGGATGAAAGTTTTAACCCGCTGTATATGATCGCAATCTGATATAAATAACATTTTAACTTGATGTAGCTACAAAGTAGAATCGGACCTATGTTAATATAAAAAATAAATCATACTTTTACGAGAGGAATCTCACCACGAGAGATGGCACGTGTTTTTTGAAACACCCTGTATTTTAATAATTAGAATAGATAAAAATTATACGTGAATTTACAATTATTTTTAATAAACAACTCATCCATGGTGGAATGTATGAGGGAAAGTAATCAGTTAAATTTCACCTCAAAATATGTTTCTTAATTAGTAAATAATGATGTACTCTTTACTAATTTGGCAACGGCTTTCTTACGTCAAAACAACGGTTTTCATCGATCGATCACCTAAGTTAATGTCATAGAGTGTCCATCATATGGGTATCTAACTAGTCGTCAAAAAATGCTTTTTTCAAATATGCTAATGAGTCCAAAAATGCAATAAGAGATACCTCGTTCTATTTGAAAAAATTGAATGATGATGGAAGCGACCAGGTCACGTAAAGCATAGACGAAAAGAAGTCACGTACAGGACGACCAAATACATACATTTTTTCACGGTTCCTTGATTAAACATTAAGGCTGTACTTAAACTGCCGTTAAACGGTAGCTTACTAAAATGCCGTTAATAGGTATGACGTCGTTGATGTGACGCACTTGACGACTTGACTGCTTTATGAAATATAGGAATTTTATAAGGACTAACCAACGCTATCCATCCCACCAAATAACCAACTAACCTCGACACTGATAAAAAAATTTAAAAAACAAATATAAATTAGTAAAAACCAACCAACCCCTCCAAATAACCACGCTAACCAACCCGCCAAATAACTAAACCAATCCAACAAAAAAGAGTGAAACCAATGCAATAAAAATATAAAAAAGTCTTCGTCGGCGTGAGATTTGAACCCCGGAGCATTCGCTCCCGAAGCAATAGCCTCAGCCACGGACCCACAGGTGCTCTTGCAAAATGCTTATGGCTAGGCATTACTTTCCGCCGACATGAACGACGTCACAATATCTATTAACGGCATTTTAGTAGGCTACCGTTTAACGGCTGTTTAAGTACATCGAAACATTAATGGTTTTAACACAGCCATGGCACTCTACAGTATGTCCCCGAGGATTTTTTTTATTATTGACATTTTGAGAAATTGCATTCTTCTCTGTATATTTTTTTATTATCCCGTTTATACGTTTCCAAATTTCCATACCGTTCTAGAGAAAATGAAAGAAAACATGAAAATTTGGTTATATTTTATTTTATTAAGTCCTAAAAATCAAAAGAAGTTTCTATGGTAATATAAATTCGATTTCGTTCTTTGGTTGATGTTTATTATTAAAGGTTGATTCTCACTATACCTTCCGTTTCCATTCCATATCCATTCCATATCCGTTCCGTATTTTTATTGTATTGACGCTAGACGTAAGCTTCCGTTCCGTATCAGTTCCATACTTTTTATTGTACAATTTATATCATTACGAAAGTTTTAACATTTGCATCTGTTGAAAAAGATAATAGATTTAATTAAGAGGTGAAAGAATAAATAAATATCAGCAAAATTTTAACAGAGTTGGTGCAAATGTAAGAACTTCACAACGCTGTTTCCGATACGCTTCAGTCCGTCCGCCAAAAAAATGTATGGAAGGAAAGGATATGCAACGGAAGGGAAACGGAACGGATAGTGTGCATTGTCCTATTCATTTACACGATATAATATATTTTATGTAAACGGAAAGGAAACGGAAGGGAACTGATATGGAAGGTATAGTGAGAATCAACCTTAATTTTGTTTAACGTCATTTTTTTGCTGTTGTTAAAGTATCACATTTTTCGATAACTATTATCACCCTCTCCGTAGCATTGAAATAAATAAATATTGTGCTTCTTTAACATTTTAAAACAGCAAGAAATATGACGTTAATTGAAATTCTATCAACAACAATCTATCAAAGAAGGAAAACGAAATTATATTACTATAGCAAAGGACTTTCAATTCAACCATATTTTCATGTTTTTTTAATTTTCTCTAAAACGGTATGGAAATTTGGAAAAGTATACACGGAATTAGCAATTTTAAAACAAGCAACATTTTTTTTATAAAGAATGCAATTTTCCCAAAATGTCAATAATAAAAAAGATTTTCCTCTTGTAAAGACAATCCGGGGACATACTGTAGATTGAAATTTGAAATACCATTTTTTTTAAGCGAAGATGTCAAAACTTTTTTGATATATGACATGTCATTTTATTGAGAATGCCATTTTCTATCAAAGAAAGTAAAAAAAATACTGAAGGAACCATCTAAAAATCAAGTTGTAGTTATTTTCGGGGAAACAGTGAACCAATAATTGAATACGTCAGTTAATCCTGATTTATGTCATATACAAACATACTAAATCTCGTTTTTTTATCAGTAAAAAATAAAAAAGTTACAGGGGTGAGCCACTTTTGAAAAAACACCCGGTATATTATTAATAATAAACAATAAACAAAATATCAATGAGGTGAAAAATAAGAGTGAGCATGAATTTTTTGTTTACAGCGGAAAGAGAGTTAACACATTACAATATTTTTAAGAAATCATTTAATTAAGCAGATTTCTATAAAACAGAAAAAAATACACATCGAGTCGGGCAATAAGAATGCAATTATCACCTTACAGTAAAACCTCTCTTATCCTTTTATAACGATCCTTTTTTTTTGT